AAAAATATGAAAAACACCACAAACATTAAAAACATAAAAATATGAAAAACACCACAAACATTAAAAACATAAAAAATATGAAAAACACCACAAACAATAAAAATATTAAAAATATGAAAAACACCACAAACATTAAAAACCTCACACACATTAAAACATTACAAACATCAAAAACATTAAAAACATCAAAACATTACAAACATAAAAACAATAACATCAAAACTTAATAACAAATTGTAAAACTAAACAATTGTTTTTAGTTTTGTCAGATGTTTAAGTTTTATTGTGAAAGGAGTTTTAAACTAAATTAAGTTTTTGATGTAAAATCACGAAAACAATTTAATCTGATTGTTGAAACAAAAGCACTTTGATCTATCCAGACCTGAGGTCCAGATCTAAGTCCAGACCTGACGTACAAACCTCAAGATCAGACTGAGGTCTAGACCAAGTTCCAAACCTGAAATCGAGACCTGAGGTCCAGATGTGAAGTCCAGACTTCAGGTCTAGACCTAAAGTCCAGATTGAGGTGCAGAATGAGGTTCATACCTGAAGTCCAGACCTAAGGTCCAGACCAGAGAGAGGACCGTCTGTGGACAGACGTGTCTTGATGAGGTCATGACCTCCAGTCGACCTCTGACCCCATGTGTTCTGAGCTCTGTGGACCTCAACGACTTTCTGTCAGAACTTTTTCAGGTCCTTCACCTTCATCTTCATCAGCTCGGGGCACAGAGTGCTGGATTAAAAGTTTTGCACAGTTTAACTGAAACTTTTTAATTTAAATTTCAAAGATTCGTTTGATTCTTTTAATCTGGGGTTAAATTATGAATTAATGTGTAACGGCGTGACAGTCGATCCTGAAACGACCAATAAACAATTTATTAATTTATAAAAACTGATCCGAAACTTTACTGAAACGTTTAGACCCAGTCCAGTTTTCATAAACACCTTTTACAACGTCAACAATCGGTGTAAACAAACAAACAAACTGACCAAACGTGCTGGGTCAGAACCAGAAGGTCCAGACGGGCAGCGCCGCAGAGTCCAACTCCGTTTATTTACCTTTCTACTTTGTTTACAAACCAAGTCAGAAACAAACAAATATTTAATGTTTTATTATCTGAAAACAAGAAAAAACATTTAGTTTTATTCAAAGAAACTTTGTTATTTCAAGGTTCATCATAACACACTTCATTTTTGTTTTTAATTTCTCAGGTAAACAAAAACAAACAAACAAACAAACATGGCCATCAGCACAGCTCAGAAACACCAAATCAATTTTTAACATTTTATTTATTTATTACAAAAATCAGACAAGTCTGTAAATTATTTATTTATCCAGCTGTTGTTTTTGGTTCGATCAGGTTGTTTATTTTTAAATAAATTCTCTGAACGACTCGTTTGTTTACAAAAAGCTGCAAATAATCAAAGTAAACATCGATTCACTTTATTCTTAGACAAAAGATGCTGAAGGTTGTTACAGACGCTGATCTGAGAACAGCCGGAAAAATAAACTCCCGTTGGAAAAAAGCGTCAACGTTTATTTGTTTACTTCAGTTTTTACAACAAAGTGCAGAAATCCAGAAAATTCCCCCAAAAAAATTAAACTAAAGATTTTAATGAATGAAATTTCAACAGAAAAATTAAATTCTTACTGATTATTTTTTTATAAACGTCCCCAGAGTTCATTAAATAAAACTTTATGAAAAACTAAAAGAATCTTTGAAAAGGAACTCTGAAGAATTTAAGGATAATTTCTCTGAAAAACAACAAAAACAACAATAAAAAAATAATTTTCCAAAGAAAAATTAACCTCAAGGCGACCACGATGACCCTCGTCTAGTCCTAGAACTGAGACCTGAAGCTTCCTGCTGAGCCTCCTCTTCACCCAGAAGATCAACACCCACAACAAACAAACAAACAAACAAACAGACAAACCACTGCCAGAGTCCCACAAACAGAAACAAACAGCAGCAAAGATTCACATTTATTTTAACTTAATATGGTTTTTGTCTCCGAGAGGGAACAAATAAAAAAATCAGACGTCAGGCCGACCCAGGACCCAGCAGGGTCCAGGTCCCGTTCCTCGGGTCTGGTTTTTAGATGCTTCAACAAATCCTGGTTTCAGAACAATTATCAGATCTGGTGCCATTCAGGATCTCTGGTCCTGGTTCTGGTCCTGGTTTTAGCATCAGACAGACCTGGATCCGTGAGCTTTAAAACATCATTGTTCCAATGGAGACAAACACCCCCCCCAAACAAACAAACAAACAAACAAACAAACTACAATTTACTCCCAACGTGAAAGAAAAGCAGCAAATAAATAAGTTGCAGAAGAATAAATAAGAAAAGACCCCGTTCAGGACTCCCCCTTCAACGAGACCCCAGATGAGGCTGGAGTACGGCAAACTTTAATGTCTAATATTTCATCAGAACGTGCTCCAGTCAACGAGCATGTTCTTCAGTCAGCCGGCCCGGCCCGGCCCGGCCCAGTATGGCTTCTGTACAGATGGAGCAAAAGGCACGAACAGAACCTTGTGGCCCTGCAGACGCTGCAGGAACAATCATCAGTGATGAAGCGCGGCGCTTCCTTCATTCAGTTAGTGAAAAGTTATAAGGCAGAGCAGAAACGGAGGAGGCGCCGCAGCTCCTTCATCCTTCTCCTGTTTCCAGGAATTAGTCTGTAGCGACAGCAGCAGGAGGAGCCGCTCTGAGGAGGAGCAGGGGTTAGAGTTCAGGAGGGAGGAGGAGGAGCAGAGAGGAAGAGGAGCAGCGCAGTTATTGGTTAGTTAGAGCAGACAGGAAGCAGAATCAGAATCACTTCACCAGCACTGACTTTGGCAGGAACGCCTCCATCTCGCCGCCTCCGTCCGCCGTGTTCTGCGGCTCCAAAGACGCCGAGGAGGACGCCGAGGAGGAGGTGGAGCTTGAGGTAACGGAGCCGCTGGGCGCCTTAGGGAGGCTGTACATATAGACGGCGCCAATGACGAGCCCCGTCCCCGCCGTGAAGAGCAGGTCCACGTGGAAGCCGAACAGGTAGACCGACATGACGGTGGACACCACGATGGAGAAGGAGGTGGCGAAGCCCTTCAGGATGTTGTCGGCGTACTTCACCACGACGGCCACCAGCAGCCCGCCGAACGCCTGGTTGAAGATGACGCACCACACCATGCCGGTGTAGCCGAACAGGAAGCCGCGCTCGGCCACGGCGGCGCCGTCGTTCCACCACAGTCCCAGCAGGCCGAGCGCCGTGCCGAAGATCCCCAGCTGCACGTTCCTCATCCACACGGACGCCGCGCTCCCCTTCAGGATCTTCTCAAAGTAAACGCCGGCGAAGCCCGACGACAGGCAGCTGATCACCACGGCAACCAGGCCCACCGTGTAGTTTTGGTTGGCGGCGTCCGCCACAGACGCCTCCTTGTTCCCTTCCTGCTGCACCTGCAGGGAGACACGAGACTCGTTAGTTCTGTCGGACCCATCAGAACCAGAGTCCGTAAGGATCCGGGTCTGCTTTCAGTGGACGCTGTTTGTTAGTGGAGCTGGGCCGATACGAGTCGAGACCATGTCGAGATAAACGACAGCAGGAGGAATATCAAGTATAAAACCGTGTCCTCTTTCTCCCACGTGGTCCCTCCTCCAACACAAACCCAGCCCCTCAGCTGCGCTCCGCCCACTTCCTGGAGAAACAGGAAGTGGGCGGAGACGTTCAGCACAACAAGTGAACACGGGAGATATGAAGAGCAGCTGAGCTGCTGGACAAGAAGAAAAGCAGCGGCTGTTCTTCTGCAGATGTTTGGATTCATCAGATGAGGATCAGAAAGGAGATTTCTGTAGACGGTGCTGAGAACAAGTCCCGACAAAAGGTCGGAACTACGAATCTTTTTCACCATTTAAAAACAGCCGAGTCTGAGCGCGTGTGAAGCTGCAGGTCCGACACACTTCAGCCTCCTTCCCTGAAACGAACCCCGGGTCAGAACTCATGTAGCCGTGCGGCGCCTTGTCAGGGGAACAGTGAGAGGTGGTGACAACATTAATAAAGACGCAGCTCATCATATTGTGAAACACACAGTCCTTCGCAGCTAACAAGACGGCTAACGCCGTGTTCATCTTGTTCCACAGCTGAAACTGGGACCGTGTCTAGCGATTTGATTAACTGCTGAATATTGATGTCACCACCTCTCACAAGGCG